TAATTAGAATATATTTTATAATTTTTCATAAAAATTTAAATAAAACTTAATTAGAATCTTTTTTTGTAAAAGTTGTGCGATATACATATTATTGTCTTGCTGATTATAAATAAATTTGTTAAAAATTTTATTTGACCCGGGTTATCCGGGGGTCAAACTATAACGGGTCGGTCAGGGTCGGGTTTTATAAATATTAACCTGGGTATTTGTACGGGTTGGTTTTTATAAACGGGTCGAGTCCGAGTACATCCTCAAACCCAACCCGATTCGACCCTTTCGGAACACTACAAATAACTGATAATGAACTGTAATTTAGATAAATATCTAAATGTATTTTATATTAATATAAGTTAATAAAAAATATTTTAATATATTTTTCACATGTTAAAGATAATTTGGTCCTTTTACATAATATTTTCACATAATTATTAATGATTTCAGACTTAAAAAATTAAAATTTTTTTTTAAATTTTTTATTAGAACGAATAGTCACATAAATGGTTATTGGCCAATCATATTAGTGTATAATTAGCCAATCACAGAAAAAGACCGCTATGCTGGTCTATTACAGAATCGGGTTCATCAACAGTTGGTACCATCATCACTCGCATCGCTTCTTCATCATTTTGTGTCTGGCCAAATGACAACACCATCCCATCCACTGCTGAACCTCGTTCTAATAATACAAGTCTAGCCTCAAGCTTTCCAACTCTAGACTTGAGTTCAGCATTCTCAGCATCACGCCTTGCATTCTCTCAGCTAAGAGCTTGGAATTTAATTCTCTCAATGAATCAATGGATTGCATGTTCGATAATAATTTTTTTATATAAGATGGAATAATTCAAAGTTTGTTAGCATAGATAAAAAAAAACGTGACAAAATGTCACGATCGGAATTACTGATTTATTGATGTAAAAGATAAATTACAAGATTCGGTAATATATAGACTTGTTTTACAAAGTGAAATAGAGTTTCTATGCTAATTCCTGCAGATCACACCAATTTTTCGCTTGCCTACACTACTAATACATACTATCCAACTCCATGATCCGGTTTCATTGTCTCAACCATCTATATTCTGGATAAAACAAAAACGGTTACCCAGTTATACTTAGCGTTAGTGTCTGAGTGTCGGAAAATAAATTAATAGGTAATCTTACTGTTACGCCGAAATTTTATGTTTTTTGTATTCCGTGATGCTGGTAAGGTCTTCAAAAATCTGTGCGAAAGAAACGGTCATTAGTTTGCAAGCCTTGAAGTCATTTTCTTGTAAATACACGCCAAAAAAAATTGCATAAGTCTCGTCCGCATAGGTATTATATATGATAATTACCTTGGTCACTAAAATTTTTGAATAGTTACCTGTAATTAAATAGTAGATTGTATAGATGCGTAAATTTTTACCGATCTAATGCGGGCTTTAAGGGAAGAGTTATTAGAGAATACAGACTTTAACCAAGCTTATGAGTCTTAACTGGTTCTGACTTGTGCTTGATCTTTAATTTTAGTGGGTTCATGTGCTAATAAATAATAATGGAAAATATTAGATAAGTTGAAGCTTGAAATTTTGGCCCTGTCCGTCGCAAGACTTAACCATTGTCGCAAGAAAATGGCTTAGGACAGGGTAACAGTTTGTCCGTTCGCAAGAATCTATCTAGCCCATCGTCGCAAGAAGATGGGCACGGGACATTAATTTTGTTTATCATATTAATGCAATAATAGAAATTAATCTCAGAGTCCCTTTTTCCTAGCAAACCTCCCATATTTTCTTTAATTCTGAACTTGAAATAATTAGCTCTAATAAATAGTTGAAGATACATGAGCATACTAAAAAGACTCGCAAGAGTGTTCGTATTCGAAGGTAAAAACTCAATCTAATTCAGTAAAATAATGGTTCTTATACGATCAGGTGCTATTATACCGTACCAGGAATTATTCCATTTTTATAATTAATGAATAAAATGGAATTTTTGCCGTATAATGGAATAAAAATTTGTGATTTGATATCGGAATAATCCCTAGAATGGTAAGGCATGACATGATGCGTATCCAAAAGTTTACTTACTCAATGTCGTTCAGACAAATTACACGAGTGAAATCTGAATCGTCGGTTGGTTCTAATAACATGGAAGATATTGAAATCGAAACTAGTTCATTGGGTATGACATTAGAAACGAATATGAAAGGATTTATAGATAAATATTTTTTCACCAATTTACCCAATGTGTGGAGTCTTGAGTCTTTTGTTTTAGAACATGACAGAACAGGATACGTTAAAAAGAACTGCTTATACTTATATAAAGAAGGATTACAGAATATCTGTAAGTCGTCTGAATTTGACGATGAGGTAAAGTCTGTGGCGAAGAAGTTGGTTGAAACTTACGAAGAAGATAAAAGGAAATGCACAAATTTGCTTGATTCTCGCTCAGCCAGGGCAGATATTCTCCGAAATAGGGTAAGGGTCTTGTGTCATTCAACTATATACTTTTTTTACCAAGTTTAGCTAAAGTTATCAAATCAATAGCTTTCATTATTGGTCAGCAAAGCGAAGTCCGCGAATGACACAATAGACGCAGTGTTTACAGAAGCCGATGCCTCATTACGTGGAATTGAAACACCAACACCAAAGAATATTACAAGAGAAACGGAACATTTTTATACAACACCGGAACAACTTGATGAGACTTCACCTGAAATTTTACCAAGACGTCTTTTTAGTCAAGTTGAATCGGACTCTTATGTTGTGAATCCACAAGGTAGTAAACGTGATCGCGATTCTGAAGAGGAAGGAGATGATACTGAGGAGTTCAACGCGGATCAAACAATCACTGGAGGTAAAAATGTTTCTTGGGTTGTAGACGGTATTGACATTCGAGAAAAATTTACTGAATATCAGCTGGAAACAAAACTACCGAAAACAAAACCCGAATACTACGACGTAATTTTTTTCAATGCTATAGATAAAAATTGTTTTCTAGAAACACTAGAAAAAAATACGGTAATACAAATGCTCAATGATATAACAGAGGAGGAGAAAGAAACGTCAAATAATATAGAACAGGAGATTAAATCACTATTACAGGAAGTTATTTCTCGTGATATCAATATGTCTAAAAAGAAACTTAACCAGCGGAAAAGACTAAATGAACCATTTGAAAGAGAATTTGCGTTACACTTTGTAAATCACATGTGAGTCTTTATCTATATTTGTTTGGTCTAATAAAATATAATATTAATCATGATTTATACAGGATAGAGCTGATGGAGGACACAAATTTGCTTCTCGAATCTATATCCGAAGGAACTTACATCGTTAGTGTATTGGGGCCAATTCTCAACAAATTTTTCATAAAAAACAAAAAGGGTTGGCGTGTTAAATATGGTGAAACTTGTCTTAGGGCAAGTGCAAAAGACCGCAATTCTCAGAAGGAAGATGACAAGCGCAGATCTGCTGGAAATAAGATCGATGCAATTATTACTTTAAAGGAGGAGGATGAAGAATTTTCAGTTGTTGAAGTAAGTGGCCCTCCATCAAAACAAGATTGGACGCATTTTAAGGGTGATCGAATGAAGATTGTAAAGATGCTAAAGACTTTGATGAATCGATTAGCTGAACTTCGCCCTAATTCTGATATTAGAAAGATTAAGCTGTACGCAATGCAGTCATATTGTAAGTCTTTTATTTGCGATTTTCCTTGTTATTTTCGTGTTACTAACTTTGACATTCAAGTACATGAGATTATTGTTTACGAATTCCGACTTAAATATGCTGAGATTTACACGATGATAGAAATTTTAAGATTTCCCCTTCCAAAGACGTGGAAGGATATGAAAGAGGCATATGAGGTTGTAATGGGGTTACTAAAATACGAGGTTTGTATGAATTATAGTTTGTAAAAAAATCAAAATATAAATGAGAACTAATTATTTCATAAATTAGCGTTTTCTATCTTCAAGCTCGGAAGAGATACAAGATTTTATGTGGTATGATTGCAAGAACTCTCAAAAAATGACCACGCGAATGATTTATTCTCCCGGTGGACGCACCAAGAAAGCACGAACTGCTTAAAACTCTTACAACAAATTTTAGCCAGAAATTACCTAAACTGTCGCAAAAAAATATTATATTATTTTGTATATCATGTACTGTATATACATTTTTCTGCTAATAAAATTTGCATACATCATTTCCGCATATATTATAAGCGCCAAAAATATTTTTTTGGTAACGGGAATTAAAAAATGATTTCCATCTCCATAGCTTCGGAGGGAATTTGTATATTAATAGATCGTTCGCCAGAGATGGAAAGTCTTTCGGCAAGAATTTTACCGGCGTACTTCAGGTGATCGATCTCACATGACGAAGTTGCCTCGATAGATAATAATCAAGCCTGAGCAAAGATTTCTATAAACTGATTGTGGGAATAAAATACTTTTTATATACTATATGAAATCATTCAAATTTTAAAAATTCACGTGATATCCTGATCAATGGTCAGCAACTTTTGCCAAGAAAAAAAAATTTTATTAATACATGCAAAAATAAATACAAGATCGGGACTTTGCCCAGGATATATATTATTTTTTAATAAATTTTTTGATCCTAGCCCTCTTACTAGACGGAGAACTATCAACACTAATCCGATCCTTCAACAACCCAACAATAATACCAATTACCCTTTTCACGTTGCTTCGAAGTAGATTGGGATTTTCTTTAACAGCGGACTTTGTAAGATTAATCTGACACTTGTGGAGTAAATACCATCTGGAGTATATATGATAAAGTACCACTTCGTTCCCGTGGTCATGATACCATAGATGTAGTCATAATAATCGTTCCCAAATGCTTGATCCGCGGTTCGTTTTTTCTTATTTGTTTGGAATGCACTTTCAAGTTGTGCCAGATTCTAAGAAATAAAATGTGTTGATATTATTGAATCTCTTTTGGATTAGCGCTCTAAAAACACAAATCAAGTATTAGACTTACCTGAGCATATCCAATCTTAATATTATGTGATTTCCCTTCAGTGATACAAAGTAGGTCTTCCAAACTTTTGATCATGTAGTCTATTCAATCCGTTGTATCTTCACCAGAAACATCTTTCTGCAAAACTATAAATATATCTTGAGTTTTTTGGCTATGGCAATTGATGCGTGTAATACTGCTGAAATAAATTCACAACACATCACCTTGTTAGCATCTGTCATGGTTTTCACATTCAAAAGTTTTAAAATAATGTCCTCCATACAGTGATTAAATGCCTTATCATCATCATTGATCTCCTTGAAGACTACAAAGAAAAATAAAGTTAATATAACTATCTAGTCAGTTTCGAAAATTAATTAATTACTTATCAGGAGTAAACTGCTTAATGTTTGTTATATCTCCCATTGACCTTATTTTTACATAACATTTCCTTTAGGTTATTGAGAGTTTTAAGTGAGGAATAGTTTTGTAATTTCTAACTGAGGCCTTTGATAAATTTTGCAAGTGTTGTTGCTAGTCCTAATGCTAATCCAATACTGTGAAATTTTTCTTCTGTTAACTCAAGAAAGGCAATCCTAGAAATTTTCTTTTTACAAAGAATTTAATATTATCTTTATTGAGTTTTAAGTTTTTCCTTTTCAAATAATCAATAAATTCCTCAGTATTAAATTCTTTAACCACGTTTAACATTATTCTAGTGGAAATTTCTTTCATTATTGAGACAGGTAAAGCAGTTGAAGAAGCTTGTAAAGATATAGTTTTTATATATGTAAGTTTGTGCTTGTAAAAAAATTTATGCATCTGACAGCAGTTACAGGTAAAGCTGGTTTATAGATATAAAAGTATTTTGATTTCTGAAGTAAAACGCTTAGAGAGAAATGATAGATTTTTTTGTATTTGATTAATGCTTTTTCCAATAGATATACAATTAAGATATAGTATAGAATTACCAGGTGATATTATTACACATGGCATTTTTCAAGATTTATGATAAGAATATAATATATGTTTTATTTAAAAAATAAAAAACATTGCTAAAATTTAGCCTATAATACATAA